CTACATTTACAGAATATGTAGACAAAATAGTAAAATGTAAATTAAGTTTGTCAGTCAATGATTATTGTATTATGTAAGATGGTAGAAATAGTAAGCACTAGCTACCTTTTTTTATTTAGCACCTACTCTATGTTAAACTTGACATACTGAGTTTTTAAAATATATTATCTTGTTTGATGCTCATCTAATCCCATGAAAAGATAATATTAACATTTTGCATACGAGGAAATGTAGCTTAGAGAGAAGTTCAGTAAATTACCCAACATGAAGCCACTAAGCTGATAAGTTGTACAGGATTCAAGCTTAGTTTGAACCTACACTCTTTCCTTTATGTTGAAGTGAAGCACAGTAGTAGGTTTCACATCCAGAGAGGTGCTGGCTTTGAAGCAGACTACAGTATCAGTTCTACATTGACAAGTCTAAGAAGGGGTCATGGAAATGTTTCTGGATAACTGGATAATGGAAAGTGACCATTTCTGTGGTCAGGAGTTTGGCTGTTTCCAAATGAGAAAATAGAATACTGGGAGACTTCTTACAAATGAGTAGCAATAGAAAATCCAGTCATTTCCAGCATTCTTAATAGACCCAAAGAACTCTCCAAACCTGACATTTTTTGTACATTCTTTAACATAATTAGTTAATATGAGCTTTATTCTTGATTTACAGCATTCCTAATATGCTAGTAGGATTTAAAAAAAAAAATCTTTAACAAGTAGGGGAGTGTCCAGATCCTAAGAAGAACTAAGCAATTATATGTCATTATATTTGAATTTAGAGATGAGCGGGAAGCAGGTATTTTCTATCTTGGTAATTATCAAGATTGAAGTAGAATCTGGTAAAACATGCAACTAATTATGTGATGACATAATTTATTCCACAGACTTTGGAAAATTTTCATTTTAGTGAATGCTATATTATTCAATGTTCTAGTGTTTAAAATGAATTTTCATTTATATCTAGTTGCTTATTACCTGTAATTTGAGATGTGATCATTATCTGTTTCTTCAGTATATCATATGTGAGAATCTTGAATTTAGGAGACAATAATATGAAACATCTGCACTATTCTGTGAATATAACCACTTTTGGAATTATAGCCTGAATTATTTCAATATTGGTTACCATGACTTATTGGTAAAGTGAAATTTGCAGAATAATATTTGACCAGGAAACTTTTCTAAATTGAAGCTTATTTTTTTAACTTGTCAATATTGTTTATTTAGTAATAATTTTTAGAATTTTGCATGTAACTTAAAAATTAGTTTGTTATTTAAGTTGATTTTGTTTTAAATTTGTTATTTTATTTTAAAAAGGAAATATTTTCTAAGAGAATAAGTATATAACTCTTGCATCATGAGCTGAAATACATTTATTCCAGCCAACTAACAACCAAACTAGATTTTAAAAAAAGAATTTTAAGAATTAGAGCCAACTTGAAGTAGTTTCCAATTTACACTTTACTTCATGTAAATGTATCATTTAAGATATAGTTTGATGAGTTAATGATTCTATCTGAATTCTAGGATTTTATTTCTATCCATTTAAAAATATTTTTTGATAAATGTTCTTTGTACTTATTACAATATATATATATAGTAGGTCTTAGATATATAACTTTTAGATTTGTTTGTTTTTTACATTTTACACTTTGAAATAATTATAGGTACAAGACAGACCCCCATATCCCTTTACTCAGTAACATTTTATTTAACCCCATGTGGGTTTTTTTGAAAACATAATTTTTGTTAAATTGTTTTTAGTTGTTCTTATGCTTGTGTGTGCTCTTCTTCCATATTTTGTTTTATTGCAAACCTGGCAGGGAAGGGATTAAACCTCACTGAGTCTGTACTGGAATGTTTGCCCTTTCTATAAAAGTTTGAACCTTGAGGATGTTGGCCTCCAAATAAATGAGCTACTTCAGAAAGGAACGGAAAGGGGAATGTTGCCTTTGGCTTGTAGAGCTAAGACTTGGCATTTCCGGTAATTGTCTACAGAGCAAAGAGCTGAGCCTTTCACGCAGGCTAAGTGCAGCTGTGGGCCAAGCAGCTGGCCTGCCTGTCCTTCCCTCCCGGGTCCACACTTTTGCCTCAACAGGATGCCTTTCAATTGCCCTTCTACTTCTCCCTTTCTTTATCCACCTCTGGTGCCCCTGTATCCTGATTAGGGCCTTCGGTGGGGGCAGCTTGCTTCTGCCAAAACACACCTCAGTGCAAAGAGGTGTCATTGCAGTGGATTGGTGTGTGTGACACCTGCACAATTTTGCCTCATCTCTTTAACTCTGAGACTCCCACTCCCTCCCAGCCACTTCCTCTGGGCTCAGGGAGAGTTCATGCCAAAGGGGACCTTCTGGGTCTCCTCCCACGTGCTCTTCTCACTGAGCTATTCTTTTCCCTGTCATCTGTACTGCTTTCCTTCCTGCCTTCTCAAGAGCTCACCTCATCCTCTTCTTTCTACAGCTTGATCTTTTGTCCCCTCTAAGGGCCATCAGCATTTTTTTTCTTAAGCCAGCTTAAGCATTTCCTAACCTTAAGCAAAAATTTCTCCTTCTGCCCAACCTTCCCAACTGCTGCTGCTTTCCTCCCTCACTGTGCACTTCTCAGCCACTTTCAAAAACAGGCCAGGTGGTGTGTGCTCACCTTCTGTCTCTCCCCATTCCTCCTCTTCAGTTCATGGGAACTTAGCTACTAAGAGCATCAGTGCAGATGCTAAGCATTGTCTGCTAACTGTAGCCTTCTAAGGGATTTTCCTAATACATTCCTGCCTTCATCCTGTTCAGCATCTACTTTGTAGCCAGAGAAATTTTAGAACACAAAACTGACCCCACAAAGTCTTTACTTAAAATTCCCCAATGGTTTCCCATGGAGTGATGCCTGAGGGTGGAGCCAGGGCTCTTGGTTGGCTTGCCTGGGGGTTGCTGAATGGATTGATCCATCTGGGCTCCCTCTTTCATTCCCTGGGCTCTTCTCCACCTTCTTCCAGAAGCCCTGCTCTTTTCTGACTTTTGAATCTGTTGTTTCTTCTGCTTAAAATGCTTCTTTCTCCCACCGTCTCTTGTCCAGCTAACACCCATTTCATTTTGCAGTGTTTTACTTCTATGTCATCTCCCCAGTCGTGGCTCTCATACTGTCCTGCAGCACTGTGCCTTCTTAGAACTCATTGTTGTTAGTAATTGAAATAGGTGCTTATATGGAGAAGCTAACCAGGAAGCTCTTGGGCAGGTATCCTCTCTATTGTTCACCATTTTTGGTCCCTCATGCCTAATGCAGTAGCACTTACAGTGATCTTTATGGCTGTTAGTTAAATGAGAAACTGTCATCCTTTCACGTATACTTATGTTGTGAAAATAAAACTATTAAAACTTTGTGAAGCATGAAATATCTCCTAGTGTAGCGTGAATCCTGTCAACATAAGCTGTCATATAAAGTAAGGTTTAAAGAACCTGAACATTTTGCTACAAGCAGTTGGCAGGTGTGACTTAATTAAATCTTGACTTTAAAAAAATCCCCATTTGAGGAAATTTTTCTTTCATACCAGATGGGTATCAGAAAGCCCCAGGCCTTTGACCTGTACCACAATTTACACTACATAACTTGTTTCAGTTTGTGTTTTAACTCTAAAATCATCTTTTCTTCCTGGTTTGCTTTTCTTTCTTTTTAAATTTTATTTTAATTTGTTATATATGACAGCAGAATGCATTACAATTCATAGTACACATATAGAGCACAATTTTTCATGTCTCTGGTTGTACACAAAGTAGAATCACACTACTCATGTTTTCATACATGTACTTAGGGTAATGATGTCCTCATTCCACCCTCTTTCCTACCCCCATGTCCCCTCCCATTCCCTCCTCCCCCCCTTGCCCTATCTAGAGTTCATCTAATCCTCCCATGCCACCTGTCCCAACCACATTATGAATCATGGTTTGCTTTTCTTATAAAATGGAATGAGAACAGGAAAGGCTGCAGATTTGGTCTGAGCCACCATCAAACTTTCACTTAAGAAGTGAATCACTGATGGTGATTATTGTATTCATCCATTCCTTCAGCCAACCTTTACTGAGTGGCTGCTGTGGGCCAGGCCCTATTCTTTGCCCCAGGCATAGAGATGGCAGTGGCTGGTTCCCATTCTACATGTGAGTCTACGGTCTCATTCACAGGCCAATAATATAGGCTGGACAAGTAGACTACTGAGTCACCTGCTACCATTTCTTATATAAAGTGTTTCTCTTTAAAGGGGCTGTTAACTTAAATTTAAAATATAGTTGTATTAACTTAATTTACAATCGATTGTAAGTAGAGTTGTATAAAGTGGTAGCTTTCTTCAATAACCATCAATATTAATGATGTTAAAGATTGAGCAAAGTACTTATTCAACTGCATTAGTAAGTTATTTCCAAGAGAATGTGTATGTTATAGGATTAGGCCTAATTAGTATCACAGAGAAAGCCTTACATCATATAGGGGCTTTGTACTGAGTGTCCAAGTTTTATAATTCTTTCAGGTTGGAAAAATAAGAATCTCCAATTTATTATCATGCCAATTTGTCAGGATATCAATTCAAGTTTAATACTACTGGCACCATGGATTATCATGGATTATCATTATTTCTTGACATTTTAATCTTTTAGTCCAATAGTCAGTTATTTCGTGCACTTAAAAGTCAAGAGAGCACTTGAACAGACTCTCATGGAAACAATGGAACAGAAAAAGTATTCCTGTGGGGTTTTAAATAGATTGTAAAGATCAGTGCCAATATCATTTCTCCCTTTAATCCTGCCTTTTCATGTGCAAACCTTTATTTGACAGTTTGAAATTAAATGGAATGTCTTCATCTGTGCCATCAACTAAAATATTTAAAAGTTATTTGAAAACTATAATGAGATTCTGTTTTTCGTTTTCAACATAATGTTATTTTTAAATTTCCTGACTCAAAAACATACATAATACAATGACTTGTTAAGCAGTTTACTCACATATATCTTCTTTTATTTTATTAAGCCATTGCCAAAAAATATGGTGTCTCGTCTCTGTGAATCTAAGAAGGTTTGTGCTGCTGCCGATATGCAACTTCAGGTGTGTATGCAACTTTGTTCCAAAGTTTTCCAGAGTCATTATCCCCTATAAATATAGAACTTTAAATTCTTGCCAGTGCTACACATTTATTATAATAATTATGCTTCTAAGACATCTTTCATCTGAGTTCAAAGAAGTTGGCCAAAATTGACTCTTCAATCCTTGCACTGTCCTTACAAGGTAGGTGTTACATAAGGGTTTTTTTTTTCCATTTTTAGCTGGAAAATCAAAGCCTAGAAGGACTATAAACTTCTAAATCAGACATTTCAAATAGCCAAGTTAGGACTCAAACCCAATCGTATATATTCTTACTCATTTGGTATCTTTATCTAAACTTGGTGGTTTTAGATGGGAAATTTAAACTGTAATTATTGTTAATTTTAGATAATATTCAAAACTAATTTCCCAGGTTCCTGAATAAAGAAAAATTTTATGAACCATGTGTGCCAGGTCTGCATGATACCAGATATTTAGATATTTGTAACTACTGAGATTGTTTATGGAGTTCTTATTGTTTTCATCAGATCTTGAGAGTTGTGTCAGCACAGCCTAAACACTAATCTTTTATCTTACACAATATTAACTTTATAATGATCCACTTGCCTGTTTAAGAGTGAAAACACTATTTGTTTTATAGTTTTATAAAATTTAGTCTTAGAAGGTAACAAGTGAGCTCTATTTTTGTTATACCTTGAAATATATATTTCAGGGCCAGAGGTATAGCTCATTGGTAAAAGCACTTGCACAAATGATAGAGCATACACAAGGCCCTGGGTTGGAACCCTAGCACTTCAGAAAAAGAAGAAAAGTGTGTGTGTATATGTGTGTGTGTGTGTGTGTGTGTACACACATATAAAATGCAGTAGACAAAGCCATGAATTTATATTTGATTGATGTTATTTCATGTCTATATTTGTCAGTATAATTAAAAAAGGATTTCTGAGTTATTTTTAAAAATTAATATTACTTGGCAAAAAACTTGTGATTTGCTGGTATGTGTATTAGGAAACCTGCCTTTTTCTAAAAGTTTGTGTTATAGCTTTGTTTTTTGAACAGTTGTTCTAATGATCTTCCTTTAAGATGAAAAAAATCTTTCCTTCCTTTCACTCTCCAAAAAGATTAGCCAGAGATAGAGAAAGAGGGGGAAATTCTTGCCAGTAGAGATACTCGTATCCAGTTTTCACATTATGCTTATAATATGGAGTGGAGTCAAAGATGAAAAGGAAGTGAATCAGCTTTCTAAGGGGGAATAAACAGTATTTTTTAAATTGTGAATTTTTAAAAATCATGCATAATTTTAAAATAGGCTCTTTATTTTTCCATGGCTATAAGTTTCTTTAGCCTGCTGGGTTGGCAGATTGACTGATGCCTTCAGAATTATTTCATTTATCAGCAAATCAGCATGAAATAATATACATTTATTTTGCTGATTTTGAACTTATAGTTCAAAAAAGGGATTCTATGTTTATATCATTTGTAAAGGCATAATTGAAGAAATGAAACTCTTACATTTTGACTTGTCTATAGATTGAGACAAAAACCACCTCAGTTCAGGTTACAATTAAGTTTTAATTCCTAATAATTTACTGAGAAGAATAGGTAAGACATAGATGAGTAATTTCAGCTTCTTTGATTATTCATTGTTACTCATTATAGAATATAGAATTGAAAGAGCTGTTTTTAGCTATATGTTTAGATTACCAGTTAGAGGAAAGCAATATTTATATTTAGGAAATGTCTGTATTTTTAGGGAAGGTTTTAACTTGGCTTTATAATTTAGAACCATAATGCTATATCTAGATTAAGCCAGAAGCTAGAGGTCATTTAAATTTTTTCTTTTATCCAGACTAATCCTCACTTCTTTCAAGTCAACAGCTGCACATTCTCTACAAATTCCACTTCTGAATCAGAAAGATACATATCAGAGGCATAATTGCATGTCAAAGTTTTTCCTTTAAATAAAGCATTTTCGCCTTTCTTGTATCAGGTAAATTCCAAACCATGTTAAGATTGAAGTGAAATGTTGGCAGCAAAAATACCCTTTATCTTTACTTTGGATTTTCTATGCAAAATTTAGTTTTCAGTACTTTGAAAACACAGAGTTCATATTCAGACTTTCTTTGATGTTTTATTCTCCTATTATGTTTCAATGACCTATGTCCTCTATTCAGAGGTGAATGATCCTGCTCTCCTGGCCCCACATTGAGCCAGAATTGCCCAAACGTGGCAGCTGACACCAGGGGTGCAGTCTCATGTGGCCCTCACTCCAGACTCCAACAGCTGCATCAGGATTCTTTATAACACCTGTACTCACCATGTGCTAGATGACTGTGCCTACCAACTTCATCCCACCTACTTAGTGTTCCTTCATCTCCAGTCACAAGACTACAGTTCTGTTCATTTAACTTTTCCTATTTGAGATCTATCTGAATTTTAGAAAGAAACCAAACATGATTTGTTAGATCTTAGGTGTCACAAGTTGTCACTCTTCTTTTTTTTTCTTCATATTTCTAATTTCATATATAATGACAAAGTTTCACTTTTGTGGCCACAAATTTTATCTTGCAGCATTACACATAAAGAGTACTTGTGGATAAATTTCAAAAGTCTTTAATATCCTTAATCATGAAAAGGTTGAGAACATTTCTTTTAATCTTCGACATGGTCATAACTGTGGTACAGAGTGTATCTCAAATCATGTATGTTTATTTTTTTTAATATTTATTTTTTAGTTGTAGTTGGACATAATGCCTTTATTTATTTATTTTTATGTGGTGCTGAGGATCGAATCCAGGGCTTTGCACTTGCTAGGCGAGTGCTCTACCGCTGAGCCACAACCCCAGCCTCATATATGTTTATATTTCTGAACATTTTCAACTATGGTTTATACTTATTATTCTCGTTCTCTCATGACATCTTTGGTTGACCCCCTTCTTTCTTTTTTAACCTTTTACATATTTTATTAATACATTTTAGTTGTACATAATGATGGGATTCATTGTTATGTATTTGTACATGGAGAAGATATCAACAATATAATTTGGCCACTATCACTTCCTAGCACTTCACCCCTGCCTCCCCACCTCTCATCCCCTGGATCCTTTCCTTTGGTTTTCTTGAGATTCCACCTGCCTCCTTTTTTTTTTTTTTTTTTTTTTTTCTTTTTTCCTCTCTAGTCTCCGCATATGAGAGAAAACATATTACCTTTGACCTTCTGAGTTTAGCTTATTTCACTTAACAAAATGGTCTCTAGTTCCATCCATTTTCCTGCACATGGCATAATTTCATTTTTCTTTATGGCTGCGTGAAACTCCATTGTGTATATATACCACATTTTATTTATCTGTTCATCCATTGATAGACACCTACACTGGTTTCATAGTTTGGCTATTGTGAATTATGCTGCTATAAACATGGATATACATGTATCATTGTAGTATGATGACTTTAATTCTTTAGGGTAAATACCAAGGAATGGTATAACTAGGTCATTTGGTGGTTCTATGCCTAGACTTTTGAGGCACCTCCATACTGATTTCCATAGTGGTTGTTCTAATTATAATCCCACTAACAGTGTAAAAAGTATTCCTTTTTTCTCCACATTCTCTCCAGCATTTATTTATTTATTATTTTATTTTATTTTATTTTTTTAGAGAGAGATGGGGGGGGAGAGAGAGAGAGAGAAATTTTTAATATTTATTTTTTAGTTTTCAGCGAACACAACATCTTTGTTTGTATGTGGTGCTGAGGATCGAACCTGGGCCGCACGCATGCCAGGCGAGCACGCTACCGCTTGAGCCACATCCCCAGCCCCATCCAGCATTTATTTTTGTTTGCATTTTTTGATGGATATAAGATGAAATTTCAGTGTACTCTTGATTTTCATTTCCCTAATTGCTAATGTGCTAATGATGTTGAACATATTTCATATTTTTGTTGGCTATTTCTGTTTCTTCTTTTGAAAAGTTTCTGTTTAATTTATTTGCCCATTCATTATTTAGGTAATTTGATTTTCTGGTGTTAAGTTATTTTGAGTTCTTTATATATTCTAGTTATTAATCCTCTGTCAGAAAAGTAGCGAGCAAAGTTCTTCTCATTCCATGGGTTATCTCTTTACATTCTTAATTCTTACCTTTGCTGTGCAGAAGCTTTTTAATTTGATGCTGTTCCATTAATTAACTCTTGGCATTATTTCCTAAGTGTTAGGTGTCCTATTGAGAAAGTCATTGCCTATGCCTATATGCTAGATTGTTGATCCTTCATTTTCTTCTAGGAATTGCATAGTTTCTGGTCTAATTCTTAGGTCTTTGATCCATTTCAAGTTGATTTTTGTGCGGGGTGAGAGATAAGAATCTAGTTTCATTCTTCTACATATGGATAATCATATTTCCCAGCACCATCTAAATGTTAAAAAGGCTGTCTTTTCTCCAATGTGTGTTTTTGGCATCTTTGTCAAGGATCAGATGACCATAGATGTGGATTTCTCTGTATCTCCTTCTCTGTACCACTGGTCTATGTGTCTGTTTTTATGCTAGTATCATGCTGTTTTTTATAATTTGAAACCAGATACTGTGATGCCTCCAGCTTTGTTTTTTGGCTTAAGATTGCTTTGACTATTCTAGGTCTTTGATTCTTCCAAATGAATTTTAGGCCATTTTTTTCTAGTTCTGTGAAGAATGTCATTGGTATTTTGATGGGGACTGCATTGAATCTATACATTGTTTTTGGTAGTATGGCAATTTTAACAACATTAATTCTGCCTCTCCATGAACATGAGAGGTCTTTCTATATTCTTTTGTCTTCAAGTTCTTTTTTCAATATTCTATAGTTTTTATTGTAGAGGTCTTTCACTTCCTTGGTTAGATTTATTCCTAGGTTGGTTTTGAGGGTGGTTTTAAGGCTATTGTGAATGGAATTTTTTTTATTGATTTCTTTTTCAGCAGATTTATTATTGGTGTATAGAAAAGATGTTGATTTTTGTATCTGGCTACTTTGCCAAATTTGTTTATTAGCAGTCTTTTGGTGGATTTTTCTTGGAGGGAGGCAGGGGGGATCTTCTACATATAGGATCATATCATCTGCAAACAGTGATCATTTGACTTCCTTTCCTATTTTTATCTCTTTCATTTCCTTCTCTTGCTTTATTTCTCTGACTAGAAGTTCTAGCACTATATATTTGTTCAGATTTTAAAGGAAATGCTTTCAGTTTTTCCCTATTTACTGTGAGGTTGGGTTTGGGTTTTTCGTATACAGCCTTTATTATGTTGAGCTAGGTTATTTCTATCCCTAGTTTTTTCAGTCTTTTTTTTTTTTTTTTTTTTTTTTTTTAGGAATAGGTACTGAATTGTTGAAGACTTTCTCTCCATATATTGAGATGACTAAGTGATTTTTGTTCTTAATTCTATTTATGTGATGAATTATATTTATTGATTTTCATATGTTAAACCATCCTTGCATCTCTGAAATAAAACCAATTTAGTCATGATGTTCAATCTTCCTAATATGTTGTTGAAAACAGTTTGCTAATGTTTTAGTATTTTTGCATCTGAGTTCATCAGAGATATTGGTCTGTAGTTTTCTTTCCTTGATAGGTCCTTTAGTCAATCCCATCTTAAATATGAGGGTGAACTATCAAAACTAATAGATATTTTTAATCTATCTAGGTCTTTTATGCCACTCTGGATCAAATCTACCATGGGGAGCATCCCCTGAGGAAACCAACCACAGACATCCTCAAGGAAACACAGGAGAAATTTTATGGCTTACCCTACGTTCCAAATACTGTGAGTCCAGCATTTTAATCCCTTGTGTGCTATTGAATGACTTTGCTGGTGTTTCTGTAGGTGGTGATCCAAGCAATAGAAACTGAGCTCATATTCGCTTAAGCAAAGGAGTGAATTTATTGAATCTTGTAACTGGAGGTGCAGGAGGGTATCTGGTTCTAGCCAAAATGGATCTAGGTCACCAGTAATATTTTGGGAAAGGTTTCTTTTTCCATTTGTCCCCTCTGTTCTTCTCTTGAGTTCTTTGCATTTTCAGAAAGGTTTTTCTGACTAGGTGGTGTGATGGCTACCAGTAAATCTAGGTTTATCTCCTCTGTCTTAGTCTAATAGAGAGCTAATATAAAAGTACTGTATAAACTTCACAATGCAAAAGGAATGTCAACTGGTTTTATTTATTATAGAATTAGATACTAGAACATTTTGTGCTGAGATTCAGTTGATCACTAAACTAGAATTGTCCAGTGAATGTCAATGTTAACACTCAGACATTCATGGGAATAATTTATATTTACCATTTTATCTGTATGATATTCTTTTTCAATAGTTTCTTATTAGAAGCTTAATCATCTTCTCTAAATGTGAAATGCTAGTCATACTAAACAACTTCTTTGTTATATTCTGGATATTGAACCCAAAAGTACTTTACTACTGAGCTGCATCCCCAGTCCTTTTTATTTTTATTTTGAGACAGGGTATTGCTAAGTTGCTGGGAGGCTGGAACTCTTGCTTCAGCTTTTCAATTACTAGAATTATGGGCTTATACCACTGTTCCCAGCTCTAAATATCTTTTTTTTTTTAAGTTTTCTAATAGTGCTAGGGATCAAAACCAGTGCCTTTCAAATGCTAAGCATGAGCTCTACCACTCTACTCCTAACTACCTATTGTTGCTCACATATAATTTATTGTTCTAATACTGCAAACTATTGAACTCTTGATTATCTGTATTAGTGAGAAATTGTAGTGCCAAAAATAATATAACAATTCACCTGTGGAATATATAACATAACAGTTGCCTAGATTCTGCTAGCTTTTTCCTGTTTTCAAAATATTTACTGATTCATGGGTTTTTGGACTTGTATATTTTTGTTCTCATTTTATAGTCCACTTTGCTTATTTAAAAAAATGATGGGAGTTAAACTCCATGTAGTTACAATATAACTAGTAAGTAGTGAAATTGTAGGAAGAACAAAAAGAGGAAATATCTGGGAGGCTTTCTGTTTTAGTCAGCTTTTATGCTGCTGTGACTAAAGGACATGATTAGAATAATTGTAGAGGAGGAAAGGTTTATTTAGGGTTTTCAGAGTTCTCAGTCCATAGACAGCAGGCTTCATTCCCCAGGGATGGAGGTGAGGCAGGATATTATGGAAGAATAGTGTGGCAGAGGGAAGTGGCTCACATGATGATCAGAAAGCAGAGAGAGAGAGAGATCTCTACTTGCCAGGAGCAAATATATTGCCCAAAACCACACCACCAATGCCCTACCTCCTCCAGCTACATCCCATCTGCCTCCAGTTACCACTCAGTTAACCTCATCAGGGATTAATCCATTGATTAGTTTAAGGCTATCACAACCTGATTATATGCCCTCTGAACCCTCTTGTATTGTCTCACAGGTGAGCTTTTGGGGGACACCTCACATACAAACCATAACACTTTCCAAAGCTACAGAACTTCATCTGTGACTGAGTTGCTTGCCTCCTGCATGTCTTTATCTTATCTTTTTTTAAAAAAAAATTAAATTAAACTCCTTTTTATTTAAAACCAATAGCATAAAGCATAAAAATTGGACATGTTTATGTGTTATCATTCTTAAGTCTTATGATAATATAGCTATGCCTATTTTTATAATAGAACCCAAACTTCCTTCATCATCTAAGTTTCTTCTATGCAATCATTTAATATATAAGAATGAAATGACACTGGCAATCATATTCTGAACCAATGATCTATAAGTCATTTTTAACTTAAAAGGAAGGATGATATAAAGTCCACTCTTCTTATCCTATTCCTTTTGGAAAAATAAAAAGGTTTATCTCTTCACTGGGGTTATCTCTCACATTCACATTCAGTAGCATCTTAGTGTAAGTTGTTTTAAGAGATCCTTAGGAGAAGTTTAGCTATGTTTAGAGAAGACATTATTTTAAAGCTTATGTATTATATTTTGGGGGCTCTTTTTCTTTTATTTGGTACTGGGAATTGAACCCAGGGATGCTTTACCACTGACTTGCATTCACAGCTCTTTTTATTTTTTGTATTTTGAGATAAGATCTCACTAAGTTGCTGAGGCTGGCCTCGAACTTGTAATCTTCCTGTGTGTCTCACACACACACACACACAAATACACATATGTGTATTTTAATGTCTGACACTTTGCTTGATTTGCACAAATATTGCACTCTTCCTACTTAGAAATTTTACATTTCTTCATTCATCAATTCATTCATTAATCCTATAACAAACATTTCCATAAAAATAAAGAATAAAGGAACTCCTAAATGTAACATTCATAAAAAGACTAGGAATACAAAATATGTAAGAAGTCGGAAGAAACAAAACTGTCATTACTTGCAGATAATTGATTTTCTGCAAATAAAACAAAAAGTATCCACAGGTAAGTTGTTAAAATTAGAGGAGTTAGCAAGTTTTCTGCATGTCATTAATATATTAAAATTAATTCCATCTCTACCTATGACAGACCAATTGAAAATAATTTTATGGATACCATTAAAGCAACAAAAAATATAAAATATCTACCAAAATAATCTTTTTTTAAAAGTATATTGTCTTTTTGTCAAAAATGATGCGTACCTACTTGGCAATGGCTCTCAGCACTTACTCGAACTATTTTCAAAATTATAATTGAACAAAAAACTATACATTTATGGATAGCAAAATTTAACCTCAAAAAGATGTCACATTTTCTCCAAATAATCTAAGCATTATATTGTCATTATAATTATAATATATTGTCATATATTGTCAATATTATAATGTCATTCTCTATATGTTTCTTTGAACCTGTCAAGCTAATTGTGTAATTTTATACAGAAGAGCAGTGGCCAGGACAATTTTGAAGAACCACAAGTTGTTTAACTTGCCCATTTGGGATTTAGACAGTCACAGGGGCTGGGGTATAGCTCAGTGGTAGAGCACCTGTCAAGCATGTGCAAGTCTCACAGTTTCATCCCTGGCACTGCAAAATAAATAAATAAATAAAACCATAAAGACGCAATAGCAACAAAAGCCAAATATTGCTATAGGAATTTAGATAGGGTAATACTGCTGTGAGGATGCATATAGTGGAATAGATGCAAGAACCCAAAAGCAGACTCAATACATTTTCCATTCTTGACTACAAGCTGGGTTGACAGCTTGGATATGTGGGCTCAGAAGGATTATCAACACCACCCTCCTCCAGTTTTAAAATGGTGCTGTAGAAATTGCAAGTACTTATAGAAAACATGAAAACTGGATATCTGTCTCCCATCCAATATAAAAAGTAAAATGGGCTAAAGACCCAAATGTAGGAAGTAAAATTCTCAATTTCTAGAAAATAATATGAAAAAATATCTTTAATATAGTATTTTTTATACTCAAAGTCATCTTGTATAAAAGGCGCTAATCATAAAGCAAGTAATTGTCAAATTTATGTTGAAATTTAAAAATACAAGTTAAATATAATATTAAAATATGAAAATCTGTGCATCAAAAATATTTTAAAACTGAAATGGAAGTAGAAAGTGGAAGCAGATATTTCAGTATGTGTTCAACACATATTTTTTCCATGTTTTTTATTTTTAAAATTTTCAGTTGCCATCTTGGCAAAGAGTATTTTTAAAGTACTTTGGGCAAACAACTTGGATACACAATAAATCACACAAAATGATCTCAGTATTAATCAAGGAATGCTACTTACAAACACCTTATAATATGATTTTACTCTTACCAGTTTGGCAAAAAATAAAATGGTTGAAAACCAAATGTTGGCAAGGATATTGAGTCACAGGAAGTCTTACACACTGCAGGTTCAAGTGCAAATTGGCACAACCACTTTGGACAACAATTTGACATTATCTTTTTACATTGAATATGGACATACCCTATGGTCCAGTGAAACTCCTATTTACATAATGTATTGTACTTTTTCTGCCAGATATACTTTCTGTACTCTGTGTTAAAAATAGGAAGGTTTATAAGAATTTGTAAAAACTCTTTTTTAAAAAAAGGGGGAGGCCAGGGGCAGTGGTGCATGCCCAGGTAATCCCAGTTACTTGGGAGGCTGAGGCAAGAGAATCGAATGTTTGAGGCCAGCCTCAGCCTCAGCAACTTAGTGAGACCCTACAACTTAGCAAGACCCTGTCTCAAAATAAAAAATAAAAAGGAACCAACCCTAGATGTTCTTCAATAAATGAATGGATAAAGGAAATGTGATATATATAAAATGGAATTTTATTCAGCCTTAAAAAAGAATGAAATTATGGCATTTGTAGGTAAATGGATGGAGTTGGAGAATATCATGCTAAGTGAAATAAGCCAATCCTAAAAAAACCAAAGACCAAATGTTTTCTCTGATAAGTGGATGCTGATTTATAATGGGGTGGCCAGCTAAGGAAGAATGAAGGAACTTTGCATTGGGCAAAGGGGAAGTGAAGGGAGGGGATGGGGCATGAGGGTGCGAAGGATGGTGGAATGAGACAGACATTATTACTCTATGCACATGTATGGTTGCATTATAGTGTGACTCTTTGAAGCGCATTCTGCTGTCATGTATTACTAATTAGAACAATAAAGGTGGTGGGGGTGCTGGGATATGACTCAGTGGTAAAGAGCCCCATGGGTTAATCCCCAGTACTAAATAAATGAATAAATAAATAAAGGGAGCCTGGTTTTGGGTGAGGGGAAGAAGAAGGAGGAAGAACCCAAGTGATCATCAACAGGAAAATGGAGAAATAATTTGTGGCATCTTCATCAAGTAGAATACTATACAATAGTAGAAATCA